GTATAGCTGTATGTGTTACCATTTCTTCGCTGAAAGTGGGGTCTAAATTACACAGAGCCCGAGCACAATACTCGTTCTCTACCTCCGAGAAGAAGTGTCGGGAGGTAAAGAACGAGTAAAAACTAAAATTTGAGAATGAGAAATAGGATTTGACAGATTTCAAAGAAGAAAGAACTGATAATAATAAGAAATATTTACTTACTAATACTGCTGCGCGCAAATCATATCCCTCGAATTTGAGAGAAGGAAGTCGGGCATACAACATGCAATGTCCTGCCTCCAAATTTTTTTCGTTCTCATATTTCTGGAAATCTTCCCTTTTAACCTCTACAAACTCGCTGGGGCCCATTGTCAAGCTGACAGGCAGTTGGAAGAGGGGAGACGTGTCGCTCAAGTAAGCAGATGGAGACTGAGTGTTTTTCAGAGTTGAAGAGATATTGATACCACTAATTGTACAACGTGCTCCGCGCTTTTCTTTTGGCAGAGAATCACCAACACTGTAAACAGGACAAACAGGACTGTCGTTAAGGACGGCGTTTTGCTCTGTCCCCCCCCCCCCTTTTGCTATGCTATCGCGGCAAGGGGGCGGGGGGGAAGGGAGTAGGGAGGGACCAGGGACAGAGTTTTACAGTGTTGCCAAAGAGTGAATGGGGGATTGCAGTGCTTTGCACTGCTTGCGCTCTTGATGGCAAGGCCCGCAAGGCCTTAGTCACTCATCATTAATAACTGCACGCAAATAATGTAGCTTTTCGAGTATTACCTGTTTTACGCCTATGAATATAAGGTGATGAAGGCGAAAGAAACTAAAGCTTCAGCCAGCGCCTGTCTAGGTAGGCAACGAGGAGTACGTGTGGGCGTGCGCGCGGCCGCGGCGAGGAGGCAGGCCAGGCAGGCGCCAAAAGTCGACAGCTGCGCAGAGGCGCCGGCGCAGAGCCAATAACTCAGTCATTTTACCCCCAAGACTGTGAAGGGTACCTCCAATCATCCAATCCAGCCGCTCTCCAGTCATTTCCTCCAGTAAACGCTTCCGAGGTCATATTTGTTTTGCCACGGCGGCATCCATCGAGGACAAGAGTAAATAGAAAACTTGGCAACAGGATCTCTCCACAACTTTTGCCAGATAATCGTGAAATTTGTCCACAATGTTCACACTGAGAATTAGTCACGTGATTTGTTTTGTATCTTTAACTTGGTTGGTAATGGCAGCCGGAGACACCTGCGACTTAACCTCAACAGATGATCCAGGACCCTCTTGTGGGTGTGGGGCACTTAAAAGAAAAGCCAAAGAGAAGAGCGAGCAATCACCTCTGGAGAAAACTGTAACAATGCTGGAGGAAATTATGAGTAGTGATGAAAATATTTCTCCACCATCAGATAAGACTGATGAGAAAAGCCTGAGGACATTGAATTTCCCCAGATCAAATAATATGGTTTTAATACAAGGTGGGGAATTCACCATGGGCACTGACAATCAAGTCTTTGTGGCTGATGGGGAAGGACCAGCCAGAAAAGTGAACATCAATACGTTTTATTTAGATGTTCACGAAGTCAGTAATTTTGAATTTGAATTGTTTTGCAATGAAACAAAGCACAGAACAGAGGCAGAGAGCTTTGGTGATTCATTTGTCTTTGATCCATTACTCAGCGAAGAAACTCGAAACACACTAACTCAAGCTGTAGCAGCTGCTCCTTGGTGGGTTCCAGTGGAAGGAGCTGATTGGCGTCATCCAGAGGGCCCAGATAGTGACATTATTGGTAAAATTTTAAAAACTTAACTAGTTGATTTTTTTTTTTCAAAGACATTTTGATCTGTTACATTCATTGATATTGTAAAAGTTAAATATCCAACTGGATAAATTTGTAATTTTTTTGCCTCATGGCAGGACGGATGGACCACCCTGTTGTTCATGTATCATGGAATGATGCTGTTGCTTACTGTCAGTGGGCAGGCAAAAGATTGCCAACAGAAGCTGAGTGGGAGTTTGCTTGTCGTAGCGGACTCCCTAATCGACTCTATCCATGGGGGAATAAAGAAAATCCTCATGAAGAACACAGGTATAGTTTACTAGTGTGTGCTAGATAACAAATAAATATGTATGTCTTGTTCTTTTCACTACATATATTTTTTTAAATGTGCTATTTATTGCTGAATGACAGTATGCACTGAATGCATTTGCAGGATGAACATATGGCAGGGAAATTTCCCTAATGAAAATACAGGAGATGATGGTTTTATATCCACTGCTCCTGTGACAGCATTTCCTTCAAGTTCATTTGGCTTAAAGAATATGGTGGGAAATGTTTGGGAATGGACGGCTGATTGGTGGACTATAAGCCACACAGGACACCTGCAAGATAATCCAGTAAGTTACAAAAATCTTAAAGACTTAACACGTTCAGTGCCAGGCCATTTTTAATTTAAAAAGTGTCCGACCTCACGGTGGTCGTGCGGCACAAGGGTGCCAAAAAGTGCACGACCTC